CGGGGCGCTGAGCCCCCTGCCTCGCTGTGCCGGGGGTGCAGACGTTCGCAAGAAGGGCCAGGCTGCCTTGTCACATCACGGCGCCAGACGACAAGGCCACCCGCGCTAGGCAGGACGAGTTCTTGCCCGGCCTTAAGCCACGGCAAAAGTAGCTCTTGGGGCAACCAAGAGACCAGCTCCATGCTCTGCCGCAGCCTCGTCCCTTCACTTCCCACGCGCATCTGCCCACCCACCCCCTTCACCAGCGCACAGGGAGCTAGGGAGGGGTAGCTCCCAGGAATGCTGCCGGGTGATGCCACCGTGCACAGCACTAGACACACGCCCCTTGCACCTACCGGGTCGTGTAGGGCTAACGGTGCTCCTTGGACCATCTCTGCACTGGAGCAATGTGATGAGAACATGGCCAGACAGTGAGTCAGTGATACTATGGACAAGGCTGGAGATCCAGAGGTTCTTCATTTGCCATCACAGATAACTTTTAAGTTGCCTCATCCATCAATGTCCAGGACTACCAAACAGACCTGAGTGGGAAATTTTATTAAAACTTACTACAGAAATAAGGCAAAATATTAAATCAAGGTCAAAATACAAATTCAAGCTAAAACACTACAGGATTTGTTATGGGCAAGAATGATGGAGAACTTTTATTTGTTTCCACTGAGACACAGCCTTGAGTTGTGTTACTTCTAGTTCCACAAGGCAATTATTTAAAAATTAGAATTCTCAAGCATGTTACAGTCTTTGCTTACCTTCATAACTTGAATACTGCAGATACAATTTGCCTCTCCCTAATCCACCAGAGAGGTAATACAGGCCAGCTAAATCCATCCTTTCAAGTAGTGTCTCCAGTCAAATATATAAACAGTTGAAAGCACCATGCTATGACCTTCCTCAAAATGCTTGGCAGGTTTTGGCTTCTTCTCATACAATGAGCAAATATTGTCAGTTCCATCTGATGAGGACCTATAAATTCCCAGAAATGCATCTTTTATGACAACAATAAAATATAAAAACATCTCCTGATACATTATTACCTAATAAAGTTCAGAGGAAGAGTTTACTTTATGATTCCCTGCCTTGAAATAAATAGACTTCTAAAACTACAAACAGCTTGCACCATGAACTTTTTTTCTAGCCAGATTTCTTCACCTATCCCTCCTGAATTGGGCCAGGGTGGGGGGAGAGAAAGTCTTTTTGAAAAGAAGCTATGAAGCTGGTACTCCAAAACCCTGCAGTCTGGGAGGTAGAAGCTAAAATGCCGTTATCAGGTAGATCAAGCCAAAGTGAAGAACAGAAAAATCTCAAGACAGATGTTTCAGTGTGCTTGTAAAAATGTGGTTAGAGTGAGGAAGGAAAACACAGGCTTGTAGAGTGCATCCTGAGGAAAGCACTGGTCTGCTAAAGGGAGAGAGGTGAGGTTAGGAGAGCAAGAAATTGTGTTAGGAAAGTAATTATATGAACTTCCATCACTTTTTTCCAACAACAGGCATAGAAGAGTGCTCCTACATCTATACAACTCAAAGGACATGAAGTGCCTTGTAATTTTTTTACTGTTAGCCCTCTGCTTTACTGCAGGCATGTTAAGCATTGCCATGAGCAGGGCAGAGATGTCTACAGCCCAGCCCTGTACACATTTGTGTTCTCCCAATACAAGAAACTGAAGTAGTGGCTTCTGTGGCATGATGTGGTTTTGTGAGATCACGGCTAGGTAGGATGGTGAGTTCACAAGTTGCTGGAGGAGCAAAAACTGACAATGACACCAGCAGAACTAAGTCCTGGCTGGGGAGCCTCTGCTTTCTCAGCAGTGAGCAGTGTCTTCACAGCCTGTAGCCATGAGCCAGAGCTGCAGGTAGGAAGAGGAAGGATTAATGTCATCTTCATCGGAACAGCAGCTCTTCCTTTCACCCACAGTTTGTCAATCAACCAATATGGAGCTGGGCTTCACAGAGTCCCTTTATGACTTAAAGTAAAAGCTACAGGTGCAGGAGTCACATGGGAGTGTTACTTAGAGGTTCTTTGTTCCTTTTTGTTGAAAGGCTGAAAGAGACTGAAGAACTCAAGTATTGCCTTTGGCTTGGCTCACTGAATTCAGCGTTTCTGAATGTTTTGGAGCCCAAGTATTTTGTAAAACCCTGGGTTCCCAGACACTCCAAGAATCAATAAGTTAAATATCCTTTTTGCCCCAAGTTTCAACCTGCATGAGTATCAGCATTCCCTGCTCATGTTCAAGGTGTGTAAATTCAGAAACATTGGTATGACATGTACACTGAGATAAAAAAACACACAGTCTGCATCTCCATGTGCTGTGATAATTGCAATCCACCTGTTGGTTATCAAATTTATCAAACAGTGAAAAGGTAAAAAAAACAAACCCTAAATCCTCAAAGCCTCTTACTATAAATCCAGAAGCATACTCAGCTGTTGTAATATTTTTTTCACTGAAGACTAACTCCAGACAACTATGCTGTAACTGAAGTAGGTATTTCAGTAGCACCATCAAAGGAGGTAGAAGGCAAATAAAAGCAATATCTCTTCCTTTTTTGTCTTCTCTTAATATCCTTGTCTAGCCTTCAATGACCATTAATACTCTTAATACATTACTTGCAGTTCTTGCTGCAAAACTTTGGGACCCTTTTTTTCTTGTTCATGACAACAGTAAATGTCATCTTTTCAACTAATCACATTTAGTGAAATATATCAGTGATGTAAAAGTCATGCTACTTAGAAGACAAAAGTAGTAAACAAAAGTAACTATAGATGGAAATTAATTAAATAGGATCAGATTTGGGGCATCTCAGTTAAATGGAGTTGTCAGTGAAAATCCTTCAATTAAATGCCACATTGTTCAGCCCATAATTGAGACCAAAAAAAGAATTCTGAGGGCACAGACATTGACAGCAAGTCCTACAGAACCCATTGCCATGGAAAGTTGGAGTTACTGGCTTCCACTTCTAAATAAGTATTCATTGAGGACTTCCTTCTTCTCTGGAATTAGTGTAATCCCTGCCACCCGATGTAGCAACTTCTGTCAAAGATCCAACTTTACAGGATGAATGAGGCATTCAAATAAAAAAGCAGATATGCAGATGAAAGTAAGAATGAAGGTTTAGAGTAGATGGCCTCTACATCAGGCAATATTGTACATTTTTTATACATACACACCATTCTAAATATCTTATGGCTGAGAAAAAAATTAAAATAATACAAATTAGGAGCTTTGATAGTCCAATGAACAATTCTGAGAGGTGAACTGGGCAGAGGCAAGACTACTGCTGGAGATTCTTGCTCTGTTCTGAAGCTAGCAATAGGCAGACAGCAGAAACTTGGGGGTGAAAAATTAGAGTCTTGAAAGTCTGAGTCACTCCTTAAGAACACCAACATTAGTATTCCCATTATTAGAAAATGAGGAATAATTTACATTTCTGGAGGTTGTTAACTTGGTTTTACAACAGATTTTCAAACAAATTGGGATTTTAAATCAAATGCAA